GAACGCGAACGCGAAGAAGGGATTTGCTGTGCAAAAATTGCAGAAAATCTGCTATGTTTTCTAAGTGTAAAATTACCCCGAACCACCTCCGAATCACTCCCGAGCCCTCGGGGCTCCCAACCAAACACACACACTAACTCAATAACATCCTACGAACTTACTCGAGCGATCAAATCGCCAAAATAACATCAAAAACCATTGAATCAAGCCTCAAGATCATCATTTTCATTTCAAACTTCATTACTTCAAATTTTAGATATTTAGGTCCGAAACACGTCAAATGACATCCGATTTCAACCAAACTTTACAGAAAGCGCTTAACACATATTTAAGACTTGTACCGGGCGTCGGAACCAAAATACGAGCCCGATACCATAGTCTTTTAATCAATTTTCATTTCTATTTTCCTTAATAATTTCAGAAAAATAATTTCACAGAAAAATTCATTTCTCGGGCTCTCGACCTCGAAATTCGACTCCGGGCATATGCCCGAGTCCCATATTTTTCTACGGACCCTCCGGGACCGCCAAATCACGGGTCCAGGTCCGTTTACCAAAAATGTTGACCAAAGTCTACTTTAGCAATATTAATATCAAAATTCTTCAAATTTTTCACAAAGTTCACATATTTCAACATAAAAGCTTTCCGGCTTCGCGCCCGGACTGCGCACACAAACCGAGGCAACTAAAAGCGAGGTTTTTAAGGCCTCGAAAGTACGGAAATAGGAAGAAACCCGGTGATGACCCTTTGGACTGTAGATGCAATAGGTATGCTAAGCTTCTTGTTTTGATGGGGTTTGGTTTTGATTTTCCATGATATTTTCCCTTGTTGAAACTGTTTTTGCCGACTTGATCATCAATCTTAACAGAATTTCTTGCCATAGGACTTGTTATTGGTATTTGCTCGTGCAACTCAACGACGTGTGATTTCTTGAAATATTCTGCAATAATGCACTTCTACTATTCCAGCTTGATTCTGAATTAGAAAAAGAGAGTTGAAATATTCTGCAATAATGCACTTCTACAAATTTCCACTTGACTCAAAATTGAGTACAAAGGTATCTTCAGCACCATTTGGTTCCGTGGCTGTATTTAATATGGAGATAAGTTGTGAAGTACAAGTTACTCTATTTTGTACTTACATTGCAGCTCCAGATTTTTTATATACGCTGTTTGAACTTTGAAGGTTTGGTTAGGGAGTCATATAAAAGCGTTTGCATTTAAATTAGAACCATGAAAAATAAGAATGGGAATTCAATTTACTTGGGTTTCTTGAGAATTGTAGTCTGTCTGAGACAATTCCTCTGCCCATATCATTATAGAATTTGCATCAGATTTGAATTTACTTGCCATGTTTTAGTTCTGGAGATGAGTATGTCTTTCTTATTCAAGTTTAACAGGATGCATGTGTGAATTGTTTCTTCTTAAATTATTCGACTTTTCTTCTACTAATTTTGTGAACTCCTGCTTTTCTTTTATTGCTTGCAGGTATGCCGAAGCCCAAGCGTTACGAGAACTTCCAGAACTCAATTCAGTCAGCATCTACCTCACAACCTTTATCAACAGAATCAACACCGTCGCATTTTGACAATACACCACAAGTCCAACCGGCAGCACGGCCAACACCTTTAAGTCAGGTTGCAGCAGATCCGATTCTGTCAGATCAGACAACAACACAGCAGGTTCCATCAGTCCGGGTCGCATCACAACAACCACCATCTAAAAAGCGTAGTGGACGTGTGTCTACGCAACATTGTGATAGCATTCATGGCAGCTCAACATCATTAAAGGAGAAGGATGAAGCTCTGGAAGCTCCACGAAGGCCCATGACAAGGTCTCAAACAAAGAAATTTCAAGACAAGCTTAATGGGCTTCAATTGGCAATTAAAAAGTGTCTTACAATAGAAGAAGAGCTCCAGCACAAGGAGGATCTTTGGGCCAAGTCTTACAACTATTTTGAGGCCCAAATTAAAGTCCAAGAGGAGATGGAATGAGGCCCAAATATGCCCCAAAAGAGAGAAATTTTCAGCAGCCCAAATAAGCCCAAAAATAGTTTCTAGAATATATATTTAATAGTTGTTTTAATCTATGTTGACTTGCATTGGTCTATGTGTATGTTGAATACATTGGTTTTAGTGTGGGTAGTCTTCTATGCTTCTAGAGAATATAATTCTCATTTATTGAAGTTTTGACTAGCTCCTTCTTTACTACTCTATAAAGGGGGGCTTGTCTTCCATTGTGGAGGGACATTGAAGATTAATATTATTATTGTGAGTTCTTTTGAACCTTTGTGAACTTTACTTTGAAGATTTATCTTGCAACCCTAACTAGTTCATAGCTTAAGGTAGTAAGATAATTTTCTTTCTTGTGATATCTTTGGTTTCTTTTGATATTCATCGAAGGCGACTAGTTTCTTTTACTAGTTGTTGTCGTAAGTTATTCAAACTAGAAGTCAAGATCCGAATCTAGTTCTTGATTAGCTTATCTCTAGTGAAGGCAATTGGTTTCATAACCAACTTGTTGTCATTAGGATCTTGTCAAAATCTAGATTAATATAATCTCGGGGTTCTTGGACCTTTCCTTGAATTTCAACATATCTAGTTTATTTTTCTTGCTCCGCTTGCATTTCTTTGCTACTTCCGCATTTCATCAACTTATTTTCTTCAAGTTCTTGGATCTCCCAACCTTTGTGTTATCAAGTGGTATCAGAGCGGTTGTATCAAGATTCCGTTCTTGATAAATCTTGGGGATTTCTTGAACAAAGGAGCAAAAAAAAAAAACGATAAAAAAAAAACCGAAAAAAAGGAAGAAACAATATTTAGCTCTTACAAGAAAATCAAGATTTTTATTTAGTGTTTGTTTACCTANCACCATTAAACTCAGACTATTCTCTTATTAGTCTTCCTAATTTTAGTAACTTATTAAACAATTTATATATATATATATATATATATATATATAGGTACTTTTATTGCCTAAAAAAAAGTTAATTGATGAAAAATATAATGTATATATGCTGTATACTAATTGTAATATGAGATTAGTCTAAAATTAAAAAAAAAAAGAATTTCCTTATGTTGGTCCTTATTTTAATTTACTATAAAAATTAAAAATTAAAAATTAAAAAATTCTATTTTTGTATGTTTACGTAACTTTCAGTAGTTTGCTATGACATAGTTAAAGAAAATAAAAATAATTTAAGTAAAAAAGGTAAAAGAAAGAAAAAAAAGGAAAGAAAGATAAAAGAAAAAAAAATCTTCTCAAAACAAATGAAAAACACCGTAACAATTTTTAAGGGGTAAAACATATCAAAACAGCCGCCCAAGAATTGTTGCGGTGATTTTAAACAATTCAAAACAAAAAAAAAAATGGGGTTTGTAAATAAATAATAGGTTGTAACCTCACTTTTATCTCTCCCACAAACCAAACAAAATTCCACAGTAAAGAATAAAACCCTTCCTTTCTTTTGCTTCAGCCCCCATTTTACAGTACCTCACCCATCTCTGTAAATTCTCAGCCATGGCTATCACATAAGAAAAAAAAATAGAATTTCTTTCTTCTCTTTTCCTTATCTTCAACGAATTTCACTATCTTTGCACCTCTTTGTTTCTTCTCTGTTCAATTCTAGATGCACAAATCTGGTTAGACACTTAATTTTCGCCTGAAAAAAAAAATAATGGATATTGCACAAGTAACTCTTTCAAATAGCTCTAGAAGGGAAATCCTTGACCCAGAATTATGGAGACTTAGAGCGGCAAATCAGAGAGTGGTTGAAGATATGAGATGTTGCTTTTCCCTTCTGATGGTTCGAAGACACAAGAAAGTTTACAAACAGTCAATGCTTTTGGGTGGAGGTCTTTTGTTCAGTGGCCGGGAGACTACAATCGAAACATAGTTCTGGAGTTCTACAGCAATCTTAATCCAGTAAGTCGTACTTCAACCGTGAGAGGTAAAATCATTCGCTTTGATGCTGAATTTATAAATGATATTTTTAACTTGAGAAACACTGATGATAGTGAAACCAAGAAATTTATGGATGATCGGGATGTAGATTTTGTAAGACATGTGTTGGGCGAGTTGTGTCCTAATGGTGTTAAAGTTTACTCGGGAACTGTTGAACGCCCTTTGAGTATTAACTGTTCATGTATGCTTGAATTAGCAAGAGCCTGGGGTAGATTCGTTAGTTCTCGCTTAATCCCGTATTTGAATAGACTGATTTTTTCAATCTTTTCGACGAACTACAATATAGAACGAGTTCTTTTGATATATGCGATTATGCATGAATTGCCTGTGAATGTGGGGAGATTGATTAGCAAGGCTATGGTTAGTTGTCGGATCAAGTCTGATTGTGAATGCTTGTATTTTCCGTCAACTATCACTCGTTTGGCCTCCTTATTTGATGTGGATTTGAGTGGTTTACCAAAGACTGAAAATTCCTACTTCATCGGTAGTGACTTTCTCCATAGTTTGAGACCTCCAACTGGTCCAACTCAAGTTGAATAGGAACAAATGCTTGTTGATAGTGGAAACGAAGCGGAGAATGAGCCAGAACAACCTCTTAATTCAAAAATTGGAACCACGCCTACCATCCTCGTTCCTGATATTCTGGTTAGTATGCAAGAACTGTTACAAAGGCATACAGAATTGATGAATAGTTGGGAGATTTTCAGAAGTGAACAAGCAGTGTGTGAAGCAGTATTGTCAGCACATGTTGAACATATCATGAAAGAATTAACGGAAGCTAGAAACACTCATAATCTCGTATGCCAAACTTTGCAAAATCAATTTGCATATACCTCTCCCATAATCTACACAATAGGAACTGTGATGTGCAATATTGCTAACACTATGAGAAGTTCTGATATTCCTAGTTTTTTTCCCTTATTTTACTGTTCCAGGTGGTGGTAGCCTTAATGTTACAGGTGCAAATTTCTATCAGGGAACACATGTATTTGTACCAACACCACTTCCCACAACAATGATGGATTTAAACAGGGGAAGTGGATCTACACCAAGTCCGATGACATTTAGCAGTCAGCCCCTTTCCGTTTTCTCTAATCTGGAAGCTAACCATGGAGTTGCTACAACTGGAGGTTCGTCAGTTCCTATTCAACAAGACAATGGTTTTGATGTTAATACATACCTTGATCTCTTTCAAGGTAATGGTCATGAAAATTAAGAATGGAACAACAAATTGTTCATTCAGGAGAATGAACAGTTTAGGTGTGGGAGATGGTAATTTTCTGGCTAATCTTTTCTCTATAACAATTTTGGGAGTTGTTGACTAGCTTCTCTTTACTGATTTGAAGGAACCTGTTGGTGGATGTTTGTGTTTTTGTTCATTGGAAGAAGAAGAAAGTTTCTTTTTTTTTTCAACAAAACTTCAAAAAAAAAAGAAAAAAAAAACTTTCTTCTTTAATGCTTTTTGCTGGATGACAGAATGGAGTGCTTTGGCATGCTGATAAGTGCAGTTTTTTGTATGTAAATAGGCCATGAAATGGCAGATCTAAGGTTGATAGTTTGGTGCTATAGCAACAGGTACTAAATTTTTGTTGTACTAGCCATGAGATTAACCTGTTGATTTATGTTTTCATGTTAGTATGAAGAACAAGGTTGCAACAGGTAATATCATTTTGATAGCTATGGTTATAGCTTGTACATAGTCTAACCTGTTGGTTGTAATGAAGCTCATAACCAAGCATAACAAGGCACAACCAGCCATGACAAGTTCATATCCAGAAGATAATTGAAAACTTATCATGGCTTGCCTATAAAGAGGCATCGTTCGTAATCGAGAGAGCGAGGAGAGAAATTTGAGAAGTGAATATTGAGCAGAAAGTTTTTTCTTTCTCTTTGTTCTTTAGTTTTGCTTCTGTTTCATCTTTTAGCCATTACTCTGGCTTCATTTCTTGTTCTGAATAAATAGTAGTATTGGAAATTACTCTAGTTCCTGTTTTTAATTAAATAGGAGGAATTATTCTCTTGAATATTTCTTTCTATTTTCTTATTTAATGGGCAAGATTATTTCCGTTGTCGGTATTGGCTCCAATATGGAGTAACTTTTCTTGTGTTGGGAAAA